AGAGATAGCTCAGCAGTTAAGGCTGGAGACATGACTCAGCAGTTAAGAGTATTGACTGCTCTTCTAGAGGACCTGGGTTGGCTCTCTGTACCCTCACAACTGGATGGAACTCCAGTTCCGGAGGGTTTGAGTCCTCTTTCTGCTTTCCCTGGCACCAGGCATGCACAGGGTGTACAGATGTACAGGCAGGCAAAGCTCTCATGCACATAAAATTATGTGCAGAGGACCTAGGACTGGTTCCTGGCCCCCAAATCAGGCCACTGTAACTCCAACAGCAGGGATTCAGTGACCCTCAGACATCCTCATACACAGACAGGCACAAGACATACACAGACAGGTGTGAGCACACACACACACATCAACATAGAATGGAGCCTTTAATCCCAGCACTTAGGAGGCAGATGCAGGCAGATCTCCAGGTCAGCATGAGTTCTAGGACGGCCTGGGCTACATAAACCCTTAACATAATTGAAAAGATTCAAGGGGATGGAAATGTATGTACAAGTACTTAGCCAGTATGTGTGTGTGTCTAGGTTTCCCATTGCCACAGAAAAAGGAGGAAAAAAATTCAGGCTTAGGTTTTCAGGAAGCATTTCTCATCCACTGCTCTACTGTTCTATTGCTAGGTTGTAGAAGGTCCACTGTGGCTGGCTGGCTCTGTCCAGGTCATGGTCACTGTGTACAGAGCAGGGTAGGGGGGAAATGGAGAGGCCGGTTTCAATCTGAGGACCTGGATTAAGTTCCTAGCACCCACATTACCTATAACTCCAGTCTCAGAGGATTCTAATACCCTCCAGTCAGTCACTGTGGGCACAGAGCACACGCATGGTGCACACACACACACACACAAACATACATATACACATAGACACACATACACATGTATATATACACACATACAAAATTAAAAACAAAACAAAAAAGACTAGTCAAAGGCCAGGGGAACTGGGAGTCTGAGGCACCTTGGTCCAATTAGAGATCAGTAGAAGCCCAAGCCTCCCTCCAGCCCTCCAGAGGCCTCACATCCTTTTCTGCCTCACTCTACCTCAGCTATGCTCCGAGATGATCTCAAACCACAGTAGAGGCTTTTACCAGTGCCTCTCACCTGGCACACGTGGGCCTCCAGCATCTCTCTCTACATCTGTGGGAGTTAAGGAAAGCTTTGTAAGTCCTGTGTTAGAAGCTGCAGACACCGCTAGAAACCAGGGCTCTAAATACAGGGTGTGCCGCTGACTCTCCTTCCCTTGGACTGAGGCCTTGCAACTCGTTAGTAGACTAAGTGCCAACGTACACAGACCCCTTCCTCCAACAGCCGCTATTTTCAGAATGAATGCTGGTCAGAATGGTCTATCTGGTCCTTGATTATCAGTACCTCAGTATCTACTATCTCCCCACCAGCCCGGCTCCCTCTATTGCAGCACTGCCTGTTTAAAATCCCACCCTGAGCGCCTCACAGCTCGGCACCAGCAGATGGTTTGCTCTTCCCTCTGGGAGAGGGAAGCACAGGGGATGCGCCATCACTTCGGATGCGCCTGTTAGCGCGCAGTTTACGGTCTGTTTTGCGTTCCGGACCACTTCTCGGGCTCCTGTTGCTGCTTCCTTCGTTTTCTTACAGGTTTCTGTCCTCTCAGAATTTCACCCTGGGGAACCACCCTCATCTCCCTCGATAGCGCCAGTCTGCGTGGTAGGGCTGGAGCTGGGTTGAGGATTTCAAACCCTCTCTGCTTGAGAGGCTGAGCATGAACTGCAGCCAGACTCAGAGCTCCTGGCGTGCCCTGTATCACCGTGCAGACAAATGAGAATTGCATCCACTGTTCCAGGGCCCTTTAACGACAGATTCAGGAATGTTCATGAACCACCACTCAGCTAAGCTCCACCGAAGGTTTGGTTGTGTGACTAGCCAGGAATTTGGGGACTGAATACTGAAACAACAACAACAAACAACCCCCCCCCCCCCCACGCAGTGC